AATTTTCTATAATTTCTTAATTTTTTATTTTCTTATATTTTTATAATATATTTATTTTCTTAGTTATGTTTATAGATATTAATTTAGTAAACTATTCTTTTTATATAAAGACAAACAATTTATATATGTATTCAAGTAATTATTTGTTCTTTTCATTTTATAAGTAAACATTCTTGTTAATTACATTGCAATGAATGGGATAGGTTGATAAGTTGCGCGGGGACGAAGTCCCCTCTATTCGCAATTTCTAGTTAATTAATTTATAATGGTCTTTATTATTGTATTTTTTTTATTGATTAACAAAAAGTTTTTTACAATTTTTTATTCTTTAGTTTTTGATTTTATTAAATTGAATTTAAAAGAAACTTTAGACCCAATAGAAACCAAATACTCCAAAACTTGACTTATTGCGAACTATTCGCTGAAAAATTATAGTGTAAAGAAAGGATATGACCTTTCGCACACAATTAAGAGATGAATTCAAATTGACGAATTTGTCATTTATGATGCAAAATATCGATATTGGAAATGGGTTCTTGAATGTGTCTTTTGTAAGATTTAGAGATATAAAAAATCAGTAAGCGAAAATTTTACCAACTTGTATTCTACAACATAGATCGATTGTAAATTATTTTACAAAGAAAATGATAGAAACTTCTAGATCCTAAAATTAGCTTAAAGAACAATAGGACTTTATGTAAAAGAAAGCTTCTTCTTTATTAATCTTAGACGTTTATCTTAAGAACTTTATAATTTTCATTATTTAGAATATTTCATTAGGACTTTCATAGCGAAAGATCTTGCTTTTTATATTTCAGATCTTAGGATCAGATTGATAATCCAGATATTCGTTGAATAATCTGGTTGCACGGATCCATATCCGTTGGGATGTGAATGCTATGTAAATCAAAAAAGATGCGCATGAGGCTTTTGTCTCTAACGGGCCGCTTTATATTATTATATCGTTCTTACCTTTTAAAGTAATCCTTTTGTTATCAGTATAAATCGCATGCCGAGAATTCTTAAATTTGTGTAACGTCATATCCCTTTTTGGATGTTCACTTCTTTTGAATTCATTAATAACTTCACGGGTTGATGTGAAAGATTCTAAAAAAAAAAAAAAAAAAAAAAAAAAAAAAAATTATTATCACTTTTCCGTAATTAATTAAATATAATGAATGTGAGTTCGCTAATTATTAAAATATTAATCATTATTAATAGTATCATAACAGTTGTGGTCACACAACCAACAATTATACGTTGTTGCCATGGTTCTGTATTGGCAGAAGGTAGAATTTATATTGGAGGCGGTTATACAGGCGATGAAAATCAAGACATCTTTTTAAACGATTTCTTTTCTTTTGATGTTAGCGTTCCATTTTCGTCAACTGATATGCAGTATGAAGTTCACGCAAATGTTCCAATAAAGAGTACAGCACATGCACTTGTATATGCAAAAAGTGAAAAGGGTGGAATGATTTATTTATTTGGTGGTCATCGAGAAATTCCTATTGGAGATCCTATATACGGATATTCCCTAGAGAAACAAGCATGGAGTTCCATAACACCAAAAGTTAATAATGGCATCACGATGCCAATTGAATCTAGTACTAGGATTGTCGGTATTACAGATAGCAGCTTAGATACCATTTACATATTTGATAATGGAACCATGTATATTTACGATGTATTAAATAATTTTTGGAATCCTGGTGTAATCGCTCCTTACACACTTAATAATTATGGCGCTGTAATGTTAAATACCAGTGAAATTGCTTACATTGGTGGTTCTGATGGGACAACAAACCTTCCTATGGATCAGATCCTGTTATATAACACAAAATTATCTCTATGGTATATAAAGGTAATGAGATTGATTAAATTTAATTCTTTTATATTTTCGTTACAAAGATTAAAATCATTCATTTTAGAACGCAAAGTCGAATGATGTAATGCCATCACCACGGCGGGGTCACACGGCATCTATAGGTAAGCTTTAAAGTGCGTTCATCTGTCAGCGTTTTTGCTGGAACTAGTACTGAATATAGTTATTAATATAATAATAGCACCAGATGGTCGGATTTTTATATATGGTGGATTTGATGGTAATGAAGAAGCGCTTTTTTCCTCCGGAAGTACTCCCACGTTCGCAGTCCTTGAGTATGATGGTAATGAATTTATATGGGATTCTCCTGAGTTATTTAATCCGTCATCTGTAATGAGAATCTTCCATACCTCACACGTAGTCGGAGATTATTTGATTATTGCTTTCGGTATGAATCGCTTTTGTATATCATAAATTATTTGTATATCATTATTAATTATTGCATTATTTTATAATAGGGCGGAATTTAACTCATGTTAGATTGAATACGATTGACCTGATAAGCATAAAGAATAGAGATAGTTACGAAATTGTCACAGACTTTGCACCATCACAATCTTCGCTACCTATCACATCTTTCACATCACCTCTACCCACCTCTTCATCATCAAGACCTGCCATCATTTTAGCATCAGTATTTGGTATTATTGTCTTTGTTGTAATTATTGCTGCTTACTACTTTTTCTACTTGAAAAAAAAAAAACGAAGTGACACTATCGATATTCCTTCCCACCGTTGGTGAAAGTCGTTAATCAATTTAAATTTTTCGTTGCGAATCGATAATAAATGCTCGGAGTAAAAAACGTGTGGAGTAATTGTACTGCATACATGTATTAGAATATTTAAATACATAAATGTCTTCGGAATTATTATCCGTCCATCATGTGGTCACTGGAAATTAAATTTACAAAAGATCTATGTTTACGAGTTTATGATGGAATGTGATAAAAAAAGGTGTCTTTTTCTTTTCTTTTGAGTTATATTTGTAACTTTGACAACTGATTGGAAATATATCGTATTTATCCTTAACTTTTTTTTTACATCATTACATAATTTAACAACGTAACGTCTTCGTAGTTTTAAGAAACTTGCATCAATTAATTCATTTACGATAATTTTTTTGTAAAAATCTAGTAGAGTTAATGCTTTATTGGAAATAATTAATATTCATAAGTAAGCAATTGACAACTTTAACGAAAGGACATGAATGTTTTTTGTACTTGACATGACTTTTTCCTAAAGGAAGTAAGTTCGTTCAAATAATAAATAAAACTTTGAAGCATATTTATCTTCTTAAAAGTTGTAGCCAAGAACTACTTAATCTGATTATCTATTTATATAAATAATAAATTCACATATCATTAAATATCTACTCGTCACTTAGTTTTTTAAATATTTTTAGAAATTTGTTATGTAAAGAGAAATGATGTGGTGTTGCGATATGCGATTCAGCAAATAGAAAAGTTCATTAAATTTGCTTAATATTTGTTATTTTGTTGATGTGTATAAAAAATCCTTTTAGAACAATTTATTTTATATTGAAACCATTTTTAAAAGCCTTTTTTTCATTATTTGCTTTTGGCCAATATTTTTAATTGTTGAATTTTCTAATAGTTTCGATACTTTTACGATATTAATGTCACACTTAATATAATTGAAAATTGGTAAATTCGATTAATAAAGAAAACAATAATAAAAAGCACTTTAGTATTAATATTTTTAAAGCGCAGATTGAGTCAATTTTTATAAAATATTAAATTAAAAATTTTAATGTATTCTCTGGTGTCTCATTCAATACGAAATATGCTTTTATAAGCTACATTTATATTTGATATCGGATGAATTCATTTTGAAGTTGAAAAGAAACTTAGTATTGGATTTGAAGCTTTATTTAAATATTGTATCTTTCAATCAAAAAAAGCCTCGATTCAAATTATTAATAGTGTTATTAGCAGTTCTTTGCAGTTTATGGGTTATAAACGATGTTAAGATAAGCAGAAGGTTTTATTGTTTTCGTTTTTTAATTTATTTTATTAATAATAACGGAGTTTCTAATCTATTACAACGTAGATAAAGTATTGCCTTCAACGTCGGCGCTCGTTTAATTATAAGATGTGATAATATAAACTTAGGAAGATACAAAATTTATATAGAATATAGCAGATAAGTTAAAGTTTATTCTTAGGTTTTGTTAGTTGCATTTTTTATTTGGTCAAAATAAAATTTACAATTCCAAAGACAAAAAAATAAAAAATTTTAATGAAGCAAAGATCCAAACATCGAAAATGTATAGGGTGTAAAAAATATATAATTTTTTTTTAGCTGTGCAGCAACCATTCTTGGTTAGTTAATAGGCGAAATATACAAGTTCCTTGCAATAGGCTGGTATCTTGCAATACGTTAAAAAAATCTTCCATAACTTCTTTAATATTTTGTAAGTATGCTTATAATAAATAAAACAACCTAGATGTATCTGTTATGCTTATTATGAATAGTTAGGTAAACATATTCACCTTTTCTTCAATGACTCAAACTATCGATACAAATGATATTATAGATAATACTTAAATGAAATTCCCAGCCTTTTCATTATATGAACTCTTTTTCTTGACATATTTATAAAATATGAAGATAATTCAAATAGATCATATGAAAATTATAGACTGTAAAAGTTTGAATTTACATGAAGAAATAAAGGATAAAATTCATTAAAATTACCGGACCACTCGTTGAATACTATCATGCTATTACAAGATTTTTTGAAGGTATGTTAACAGAGATTTCTGAACGAAAGCTGGCTATTTGTATTAGACAAAGAAAACATTGAAAATAGCCAACTATACTTTGTCTGAAAGCAAAATTATAAAAATGGTTACTATTTCAATTTCAGTTCTTACTAGTTTCACCTTTTCCTCATGTAATATTTGGTTAACTAATGTGATAACAAAATTTAAATATCATCATGTAATTAAACATAATGAATGCCATGAACGAAATCAAGAAAAAAACTCAATAAATAAAGTTGATCCTATATTAAGAAGATAGAGTCTTGCAGTAATTAATAACATAGATTTTTAAACAAAATCTTTTCCTTTGGAAAAATTATATGATACTACTCGGAAAAGCTCACATGCAACCATAAGAATGGCTTTTCAATCAAGTCTCCCTAAGGGTCTGGCAGCATGTCAAGAAGTAATAATTTCTTTAGAAAATGAAGATGAACATATGGGTAGTATTCTATTAAAATTGAGGTACGGTTCATATGATTTACTATGTCTCGTAACCCACTTTTAATAGATCAGCTCCCATATTAAACATGAGTATCGAAACTGAAACCTCGAGACTCTTTAGTTTTGGTATATACTAAACATAATTTCGGGAGTGCATTTATTCTTCTAAAACGCGAAACCCGAAACCCGTTTCTGAACATATAATAAATTAAATACAACAGCTGTGGCGTTGGAAAATGCTTTGGAATCGCAGAATTCAACGTTACATTCTTCGAAGAGAAGTCAAAAAAAAATTATAATTACCATACTCATTGTTTTTTATGAAAATTTATATTTACGCATTTAATATATGCTGAAATATGCAAAAACTTATTTTATTGTTTTATAAGTTTATTACAGTATATTAATTAAAACAAATTATTCGATAAATTAAAATAGAGGTTGGAACCGGTCTAAAAATCCTTAACCAGTTAATAACCGGTTAAAATATTCTTTAACCGGTTATTAACCGGTTAAATATTATAAACTTTATATTTAAATTGATTACATTCATATAATTTTTGTTACTTTACAATCGTATTAAAAACAATTATAAAATATTTAATACCTCTCTTACAAAAAAAGGAGTCAATTAATGCAATTAATGCGATCAATAATTGTCCTAAATAATTTATGTTGAATACGATAAAGGTAAGCAGAAGGTTTGTGTTTATAATTGGATTTTATTAATAACAAATAAAATACTAATAAAAACTGCGTAAATTAGGCGTTTCCGCGCTCTATACGATCAGATATGTATTTATTAAAGTTTCGTTATCGTTGCAAATACTGTTAATGCGAAAGGAATAAATGCTAAACTAATAATACCATCAAATGTTATTATTCATTTATTCCCTAGCAAATCCCACCACTTCTATACCAGGGACTTATAGTCAAGAAGCCATTTTGGCTATTGGCCGGATAGTATTTTGGCCAAATCTAAAAATCTAATAAAAATCGCTAAATTTTAAAAAAATAATGCGATTTTTAGCTAAAATTACCAAATTTAGCCCTTCTAGCAAAAAAATCTGTCCTGCGGTTAGATCATCCTTAATTTGAACAGCCCAAATCTCTATTTCAATCTAATCAAAATAAATGAATCAAAAAATTTTAATAATTAAAAAAAATCGACTTGTAAAAGTAACATGATGATAATCAGCAAATATGTAATGTTCTCATTATCTTACCCTTTAAGGTGCCTCCTTTACTTGTTATTTATCGCACCAGAATACAGTAGTGTACTTTATTTTGTGCAACAATGTATCAACGCCATAGGATTTTCATTTTCTTCTGAATTCATTTCTAACTCCTCAGGATCGATGAAAAGTTATTCTAAAAATCGAAAACAACTTTTTAATCCGTAATTATGAAGATGACTATACTAACAATTAAATTAACAGTCATTATTAATGTGATCATAACAGTTGTTGTCGCACAACCAACGATTATACGTTGTTGACATGGTTCTGTAATGGCAGAAGGTATAATTTATATTGAAGGCGGTTATACAGGAAAAGAAAATGAAAACATCTATACCAATGATTTTTTTTCTTTCGATTTAAGCGTTTCATTTTAACGACTAATATGCATTATGAAGTTAGCGCCAAAGTTCCTGTAATGAGCGTAGCACATACGCTTGTATATGCAAAAAGTTCCAAGGGTGGAATGATTTATTTATTTGGTGGTTATCGAAAAAATCCTATTGGAGATCCTATATACGGATACTCACTAGAGAAACAAACATGGAGTTCAATAACACCAAAAGTTAATGGTGGAATTATGATGCCAATTGAATCTAGTACCAAAATTGTCGGTATTACAGATAGCAGCTTAGGTACCATTTATATATTTGACAATGGAACCATGTATATTTATGATGTATTGAATAATTTTTGGAATCCTGGTCAAATCGCGCCTTACAATCTTAATTATTACGCCGCCGTTATGTTAAATAACAGTGAAATTGCTTACATCGGTGGTTCTGATGGGACAACAAACCTTCATATGGATCAGATCCTCTTATATAACACGAAATTATCGTTATGGTATATAAAGGTAGGTATTCGATTCATTTTAAAGACTTTATATTTCGTACAAAATTGATATCTTTATTTTAGAATGCAAAAGCAAATGGTATAATTCCATTACCACGACAGGGTCATACAGCATCTATAGGTGAGCTACAGTATATTATATTGTGTATTTTGTTTGATGGACATTGCACTGAATATTGTTATTCATATAATATTAGCACCCGATGGACGGATATTGATTTATGGTGGTTTTGATGGTAATGAAGATGCGCTCACTTCCTCAGGAAGTACTCCCACATTCGCAGTGCTTGAACTCGTTGATTATGAAATTGTATGGTTCTCTCCTGAGTTATTCAATCCGTCATCTGTTATGAGGATCTATCATACTTCACATTTAGTTGGAAATTATTTGGTTATTGCATTCGGTATGGATCGCTTTTGTTATAGTATTTTATTGGATGTAACTTGATTATTTATTGTTTTATAATAGGGCGGAATTTAACGCATGTTAGATTGAATACGATTGATCTAATAAATATTAGCAGTAGAGAAAGTTACGAAATTGTCTCAGATTACATACCACCTTATGAATTGGAAAAACCAATACTAACACCATCACCTGTATCATCACCAACTACACCACTTACATCATCATCACCTGTCTCTTCATCATCTTTATCACAAAACATCATAATTATATCATCTGTGTTTGGTACCTTTGGGTTTTTTGTTATTATTGCGAGTGCTTACTTCTTGACAAGATATTATCGCCGTCGAAACGTTATTTCTACACCTGGTCAATATTATTAAACACTCTTTATATTACTTTTAGTAAAAACAAACAAAAAATTTATACTAAAATTTATACAGTATTTAACAATTTTATTTAAATAAATTATTCGGTTAAATTCAACTGAAATGTAAATCATTTGAAACATGTAAATTACCGTTCCATTTGGCTAAATACCGCAACAAAAAAAAACGGATCCTTTTATGTATAAAAAGAAATTAAGAATGCGATAAATTTAAAAGAAATCTTATCTCTCTTTTGAAATTTGTATGTATATCTATATTCTGTCAGGCATTATACAGGTTAGGTTAATTGAATTTCAAATAAATATAAGATATGATAAATTTTGTGAGGGGCTTCTAATATTCCTGTGCAAAAAGTTTTAGATATTTGGATCAAAATCATATTTAACTGCGGTTGGCAAACTAAGTTGTTCAGAATCATGATTTCTCTTCTGATTTTACTCCATCTATAAATTAAAATTCTACAAATAGAAAGAATGCCTATACTTATCGCTGTACAAACTGTTATAATCACAATTTTCTTTGTATTATTTAGATTATATGTATCTATTTTATGTTCAGTTGTATCAAATGAATATAAATATCGGTATTAAAAGGTCCTATAGGTTCAGAATCATATATTGATATGTTTCCTATCATAATTAAAATAAAAGAATAATAAAATCAAATTTTTGAAGCATTTCACTATAAAGTAATGTAAGAAAAAATACCAAAAGCGACAATCATATAATTCCCAACGAGATCATTATAATTGATGGAACCGTGCCGACATCTGAAATATCTGGAAAAACACGAGAAAGTTTAATATTGCCAATCCTTTTAGAACCTCCATAAATAATGATTTTACCATTTGGGGCTATTTTAATTTAAACATAAAATAAAAATAATTTAAAATAAATTATATAATGTAAAAAGTTGAATTTGTTTAATACCTATTACAGCTGTATGACCTAAACGACTTTGAATTTGACTTGTAAATCCTGCCGTCTTTAAAAAAAATATGTATATAATTAATTCTTGAAATGAATAAATTATCAAAATATCAATAAAAATATATCTTTAATGACATAAAGTATTGTATCATAAAGATCAATTTGACCCATTTCTATTTCAATTAATTCTCCGTTTATACAATGAAACCATTCGGTAATGCGGTCAGCTGAAGAAATAATTGACCATGATAGCCCGACAGCATCAAAAATGATCATGTCGTGTCGTTAAAAAAATGGGTTGTTTGTGAATTCTTAAATCCATTAAATATGTTTCAGAACATCTTTTTTCGGTGGTTCAGAGTGGGTTTGTGTAATATTTCCTATTCATAATAATAATAAAAATAATTAATTAAAAAAATTTACTACAATCATGTAATTTACAAGATCAGCTGTATGAGCTATAAGTGATGAAACCGTGCCGATATTTGAAGTTACCTGAGGTTCATTCCATTCATACGGTTCAATCCTTGTATTTAAAACAGTAGTATCTGGAACAACTTGAGCATTTTTAATATCGCCAACTTTTTATATCCTCCATAAATAATTAACTTATCATCTTGGGCTTTTTAAACAACAAAAAAAATGAATTTATAAATATAGTATTATAAATTATTATACATATACATGTTTAATACAGCTGTATGCGCAGCACGATTATCAAAACATTTGCCATCTAATAAAATCATAATTAAAATAAACGGATAATTTTTCGATAGTTTGAAACATAATTAATACACACTTTTAATGACCAGGTTAAAGAATTTGTATCATAAAGATTAGTTTGCTTAATATCTACTACTATATAGTCACCGTTCTCCTTAATTTCATAACCTCCAATATATACAATAAAACCATTTGGTAATAATGTTGCAGTATATGAAGTTTCGTTGTCTCGGTGCGTCAACCGGAGAAATAATTGACCATGATAATCCAACGGCATCAAAAATGACCATATAATTAAAGTATTTTGTTGTTGGTGAACTTAATAATTTATTAGCACTTCCACCAAAAATATATAACTTTCCATTACTATTAACAGCCTTCGTCTTTCAGGTGAAATTCCACCAACAGGAGGTATACTCCACGTCGAGTAATTTACATTAAAACGATATATTATCGAAGTAAATGAATCAGACAGATCATTATCTACCATATATCCTCCAAATAAATAAATATTTGGATCGTTATTTATTGAACAGTTGCCCATGCTCTTCCAAATGGAATCTTCATGAGTTTAGTCAAAGGTGGAATATTTATATCAAATGGTTTAGATACATCAAGATAAAAATCTCATTTGCGATTGAGCTATTTCTATATCTGTACCACTACCTGCTCCGCCAAAAAAATAAAGCTTATCTCCTACTAGTACAGAGGAATGTGCTAAACGTTCTTTAGGAGTAAATGATTCAACTCTCAAGAGCGTAGAACAAATCACGAAAATTATAAATATGCAACAAAATTTTAATGATATACTCATATTTTATAGAAATTAAAAACGTAGAAAGTAAAAAAGGAAATTCAAAAATAATGAAAATCTAGCCTTTCTTTTCTTTCTTTTTATTTTTTTTATCCCCTTTTTTTTTTGTTTTACATATTTGTAAAAACGTTCATGCATTCATGCAAGAAGTGATTAAATTGTAATACACATTGTTTGTGTCAAGAATTACTCAGTTTTACTTAATTATTAAATGAAGGAATAAATTTTAAATTATGTAATTAGTTAAATTATACTTATCAAATTTACTGTGCCTCTTCCGTCATCATATTTTTAGCAAAACACTGGTTGTATTTTGCTGAGCGTATAAATATTTTAAATTTAAAAGACATAATTACGCTATTAAAATCAAATTAAAAACATATTATCTATAACGAGATTTTAATAGCAAACCTCCTATAATATCAATTTTAAATAAAAAATTTTGACATAATATTATCATAAATTCCCAACTCTTCTGTGATTGTTTATTTTTGATATTTTTTCCGATGCGATGTTCCTGTGGGCTCCTGAACGAAATCACTTAAATGGATAATCAACTTTATTTAATTATTGCAATATAAATATCCTTTTAAAAATGAAAAAAGCACACATATTTAAATATAAATTGAATTGTTACGGGTAGCAAATCGCAACAGTCTAAAGCATGTTTTGTTCGACGGTGTCAATGCTACGAATGGCGCAGTACTCCGTATATTTATTTCTAAATATGAAATGAAAGGTTGTCCTATTCTCTACGGGTTCAAGAGAACGTTATTCATTTATTCGAATATCCTTAGAACTAGAATTATATATTTTACGTCTCTGAACTTTGTAAATATTAACTAAGAATTAAGATCATTTAATAGTTAACTGTAGGTGATGTATAAATTGAAGGTTTTGCCTGAATCTTTCAGTTTATTTTTAATTTTTACAAATGTCTTTATAACATGTTATTTTATACAAAAATCTGTTAATATGTATGCAGAAATTACGGTTTCTGTGGAAAGTAAACAAATATTAATTAAATAAAGGAATAAAAAAATTCTTGATGTAGCTAATACGCAATACTTATCGTTATATTTTATTTCGTTAAGAACGATGGTAAATTAATGTAATTAGGTGCACGATAGAGAAAAGCTATAATCAATTTGCGGGAACACTCCATTACTTTCCTCAGAACTATCCGATTACAATTACTTGCATAATACTACGATAATCAAAGATTTTCATATATGAAAAGACTTGAACGAGAAATTTCAAAAATTCAATTCAATAAAGTATTTAATAAAATAAAATTATTGTATTATTTACAAAGGCATAATATCATCATATCTGCGGGAGCTTCTTTCAATTTGCGATCAAGTTGTTCAATCAAGACATCAACTTAGAAAAAAGTTGAAAAAAGAGAAATTATTAAGCATAAAAATATTTTTAAACATTGGTATTATATATTTTTAAATTTAAATATTGAACTATGGAAGTTCTTCAATGCGAAATTGAACTATAAAATTTAAAAAAGTCTAGTTCAAAGAAAATTACGCGAGTTTTTTGGGTGAAACCAGTATGATAAAACGGAGCAGAGATTTCTAAAAGAAATATTTAGAAAATGAAATAACAGAAAAGATTTGACATGGTTAACAGGACTTTCTGCGGTAATTAAACTAGATTCATGCGATGCTAAATTATTTTAATTATAGTAATTATATAAAAAAAAAATTTAGATTAACTTGTGTTTTTTAACAAAATTTCATCTAATGCTTGTTTGTAGAAACGTTTTTTTGTGGTAAGAAAAATAATTTTATTAATGAATAGTGTAGTGTAGAGTTAGTTTGCGTTATAAAAAAAAAAGTATGAATAACTTAATACATATTTCCAAAAATCTTTTCACAATTAGTTTTCAAAAATAAACCTTTATATTAAAAAAAAAAAATAACAAAGCGTTAAAGAAATAAATCATTTTTCTTCCAATTTTATCAAAATACTGAAAATCTTTTTTTTTTAAATGATTTTGAAATTTTAAAATTTAAAGACAATACACGATCGCGTAGCATAAATATTTAAAACGAATATATAATAGGAATATTCGAAAGAATATTAAGAATAAATATAAAAAATAAGTTTTACAAAGTTGTTTAAGAAATTCTTGATGGCATTATAAGTGATTTTAAGATGATTTTGAAGAAATTAAAAAAAATAGTTATGAATAAAAAATTAATGGTTTAATTTTTTAAAAAGCGAAAATTTGGAAAAAAAAGAGATAATTGAAACCATCCCATCATTAACGTTTCGCAAGCTTTTATCCTAAAAAAACAAAAATTATTTTAGTCAACGAAGATATGGACTTTCAACAATCAAATATGTATACAAAAAATACATACCTCTATAACTAAAAATGGGACTCGGTTTTTACTAACCACGATTATATTATCAGCATTTAATATCCATTAATTTTCATTAAGGTATTAAAACCCTTCCCTTTTGTTACATCCACTAATAAAATTGTACAGTGACACTGAAAAAAAAAAATAATTGTGAGATATAAAATAATAGTAATAAATTTTTAACAACTTGTATTCTCTATCGTAACTATTTTAATTATATCATAAGTTTCGGGCGAAACTTCGGATTTGAGAAAATGGATTCGCCCGAAACACTAATCCATCACCAAAATATAATTATAAAAATTAAAATTGGGATAAAATATTTTAACGGATTAGGAGAAGGACGTTGCCGAGGGATGTTTTCCATTTTAAATCTTCGATATCTTCTCGAGATTTTTATTGCGATGTACGGCGTCAATAGCTTCGGCGCTCCTATAAGAGGTTCTGTCTTCGGACGTTTTCAGATTCTTCTAATCTCTTGTGAAGTTTGCCATGTTCTTCATCTATGTTCCATCATTTTTTCTCGATAAATTCTTGCCCTTTCGGCGTATTTTCCTGAACTTTTTTCGAAAGTCTGGATATTTTATGAAATTTGTATAACGATAATAAAAAATGGTAATATATTTTATTTGATAAAATAAAGTATTGCTATATGAAGCGTTAGGATTAAAAAACTGTTCGAGATTAAAAATTGTCGTTCGTTGAATTTTTTTTTTTTAAAAAAAAAAAAAAGAAAATTATTGGTCAATTTTATATGAGATATGGGGTGAGTGCTGGAAAAATGGACCAAATTGATTTTTTTTTTACTAAGTAAAATAGATGTAGATTTGGTCATCTGATTCAAATCATTTGTTATTTCAAAAAAAAATTTTTTGTCGATTTGGTCTTTTTTCCTCACCAAATATTACCAAAAATGGAGATCGATCTAGAATCACGTTTCAAGAATTTAATTGGTTATTACATGTATTACCGACAGAAATTTGTAGATAATAAATGTATGAATATACTGTATGCTATGCTTTCGAACATATACTTTTATAATCTCTCATCTCTGAGTATAAAACATAATAATTTTCTTAAATTTAACATTTAGAATGAAATGACAAATAAACTGACCACTAAAGAATTACCATGCTTATTTGAAGGGTTATTTGCTAAATACTCGGAAAGTCTAGTACAGTCAACTCTTTCTACAACGAATTTTGATATAATGAATTTACAATACAACGGATTTTCAGTGTCAGACAGATTTTTAAATATAAAAAAACCCTTTTTTTGATTTTACATGGATTGCGCAGTTGGAACTTCAGCGCCTATGCATACCATTCGATAGAAGTGATGTATTTTATTTTTGGCATACGTCGAGTCTACTATAACCTCTTTGGTACTTTTAAACCCAGTGTAAATCTGCGAAACCAAGGTGAATGGATGTCTAAGACACAGCATGGTTTCGCTGCAAGGAGTAGACTGCCAAGACCCTGAACTGCCTATGTTGTTCAGATACATAGTACACCCTCTTTATTCACATTCATCACAACTACTGGAAAGAGAGTCATGACAACCTAAGATGATAGCCTACACCATAGTTGCCAAGCCATACGTCAAAATCATCCAGAGAATCAAACTTTAGCCTCCAAACGCTAGTTGTGATATAGGCACTACGATGGTTAATGACAGTGCAATATCAACCACTGATAACCAAGACTTTTGTTCAATCCTAGTCATCCAGCACCATCCATTGATCCTACCCTTAGAGGCATTCTTTGCAGACGATGTGACACTTGTCCATTATAGACCAGCCACTTAACATAGGTTTCAAACTCAATTGGTTCACATATGCATCAAGTTACTTACCACCATTACCTGTTGTCAGGATGGTGTATAGACGAAGTAACCTTACACAGCTTACACTGTGGAAGCTACTATCCAACATGTAAATAACTATTAATAGGTCATCTTATTCTACAAATTTGTGATCTTCAACGTATATAGTTTGTACGCACTCTATGAAATTCATTCCTGGAATCGAACCAATAAATCCCATAAATTAATTTATTATGATCTGCCTTGGCTAGAGGCTAAACTAGAGTCTATTACAGTGTAACTTACAATAGGGTCTGAGTTGTTACCAACTAAGACAGGACTGCCAATCCTTATAAAAAAACCCTTTTTTTTTTTTTGATTTTACTTGGATCGCGCAGTTGGAACTTCAGCGCCCTATGCGTACCATTCAATAGAAGTGATGTGTCTTATATTTGGCATACGTCGAGTCCACCATAACCCCCCTTTGGTACTTTTAAATCCAGTGTGAATTTTCGAAACCAAGGTGAAGTGATGTCTAAGACACGGCATGGTTTCGCCGCAAGGAGTAGACTGCCAAGACCCCGAACTGCCTATGTTGTTCAGATAC